AGTTGTTTTCACATTAAGGATGAAATAGGAGTATGAAAAGAAGTAATTCTTCTATGTGATCTAAATGGAAAGATGCTATAACCAATTTCAGTCAAGTAATATGGGTAGAAGATACTTCAAAAGACTGGGGTGGAGCAAGAGGAAAGAATCGTGAACAAGTAGAAATCATGTCTTTAATTTCTTTCTCCAGTTTTAAGAACTAGGGAAAATTGAAATTAAAATGACTAATATTTGTTAATGGTAACTGAGCCCTTAATATGTCTCATGAATTAATATATCATATATACATACATATAACTTGTTTAATCTTTGTAATTTAAGTCACTACTATTTTATTCCCATTTTACAAATGGCTAAAACTAAGGTATTGTGAGTTGAGAGCTTTTTCATTTTTCAAGATTGTAGACCCCTATATAGAGACTGGCTTTAGTCCCAATACACTGCAGGAATAGACCGCATAGGGAAGACAACATGGAACTCATAACATTTTAGACCTTCATCCTAAGGTGAGGCAACTAAATGTTGAGTGATGGGTTTCAGGTCTTAGAAAATAAAAACACTTGCAAGTTATCAGATTTTATGATTCTCTTGCTTTCAATGTTAAATAAATAACTTTTCCAAGTTTAAATACAAGACTAATCAAACTGCTAGAAGGTTTTGCCTTCTATAAAGGGACAGATAGCAAAACAGAACTTGGAACCTTCATATCACTGTAATCGTCACTGTATATGCTGCAGCAGAAACTTCATATTGATTGATGTCTTTTGAGGGGATCATCTGGCTCTGTGGCTTAGATTACTCCATTGAGAATGAAGATAAGACAGTAAACAGAAACAAAAAACCCAAATAATCTCGAATAATATACCAATTGATGTATAAATGCTTTCCCTCCTCTCTCTCTCTCTCTCTCTCTCTCTCTTTCTCTCTGTCCTATGTGTGTGAGTGAGTGAGAGAGAGAGAGAGAGAGAGAGAGAGTTGGGGGGGTTGTCTTTGTGGGATCACATGGAAGCCAGTGGAGGATCTTGGGTGTTCTGCTCTATCACTTTCTTATTCCCATAAAACAGAGTCTCTCACTGTATCTGGAGCTTAGCTAGAGACCAGTAAGCCCCAGTGATTTTCCCGTCTCTGTCCCACAAGCCCACTCCACCCAATACCTGTGTGGCATTGCAGGTGCCAGACTTCTAATGTGGATTCTCAGGACTTGTTTGAGCAGAAAGTATTATTACTTTCTGAGCAATCTCCGCAGCCCAAATGCTATAGTAATGTAAATGGTAATTTGGTTGCAGCTTGGGCTTATTAATATTTTGCTTTAGAATATGACATTCAATACATATTCATCAGTTCACTCAATTAACACACTGGAGATATAGCACTAAACAGGAAAGACTTGGTCTCTTCCAGGCTTATATTTCAGCTAGGATTAAGAATAAACAAATGTGTGCACAGCAAATGTACTGTCATTTTAACATGTTATCAAACTGTGCAGGGTACTATAAGAACATAATTGGCCTAATTGTTTATGGGTACAGTGTGCTAGGAAGTTAAAATCCATGGAAATAAGCATGAGGATCCTGAGTAAAGTCCATGAACTTTTTATTAGATCGTTTAGCCAACTTAACATGAAATTATACCCAGTTGACTAATTGACTCAATGTTACTATTATAACTCTGTAAAATATTATTTGAAGCCTGTTACATATGGGCCTCTGTTTCTGGGACATAACATAATGAAAAAGCTAGGTAAGGTCTGTGTTGGATAAAAAATTGGGCCCAATCCATTGAGGGGAAAGTAGGCTGAACAAGGGGTGAGAAGCAAGCCAGTAAGGAGCACTCCTCCAAGGCCTCTGCTCCAACTCCTGTCTTCGGGTTTCTGACCTGCTTGAGTTCTGTCCTCACTGCTTTTCATAATGAACGTTTTATGGATCTGTGAGTGAAAGAAATCCTTTATTCCTCAAGTTGCTTTTGGTCATCATGTTTCATCGTAGCAATAATTACCCTAAGACAACTAGCAGAACACTTTCCTAGTATGTGGGAGGCCCCAAATTTGAGCCCTAGCACTTCCCAAGAAGTAAAATACATAGTATCTATTTCATTCAAAACTTCCAGTCAAACTGGGCAGAAGTCAATGACTGTGAAGAAAAACTCATGAGTATTTTATTAATTATTGATATTTTAAATATACTTTTAAATAAATATGGCAGATTAAAGCCTGAGATGTTTTTCCACTGAAGTAACAAACTAAGTCATAGTTAGGCTACTAAAGAGAAAGAACAGGGAAGGTTCATATTTTTGATCAATTGAAAAAAATACGCAAAGGCAACTTTAAATTTAAAATGAGGTATTCTTCATTAAGTAATAGACATGTAAAAATAGGAAAGGGAAAATGTTAAGTGGAAATTCTGGTAAATTATTAAATAATAAAAGAGCACCTACCATTTACAAGTCAAACATGCAAGATAGTTTCTTTAGATGTGTAACTCAGTTATTGAGGTTTATGGTATGAGCAATACACACACACACACACACACACACACACACACACAATCCTTAGTTCCTTTTTTAAGGCAAACATCAAGGATAATCATATTAGCACGAGTTTTATTGTAGGCTTGAGTATTTGTCTCCCAGGCATCTGTTGGTAGTTAGGGGATCAAATTCACAAGACACCTGATTCCAAAACTTGAGCCTCAGAAGGCGAGAAACTTGGCAAGCAAGGAAAGTAGTCATAGGTTTAAGGTCTCAGCATCCACTGTGGTTGAGTTGACCCTCCTTGGGAAGGAAGGAATCCCTCTTCTTGACTTAAAAAGCTCTTTTGTTTTTGTTTTGTGTCAACACCAATTGGCTCAAGGGGTCTTCATACACACTCTTCTGGGCCCCAAGACGGCACAGGTTTTCCTTTACAAAGTGGGTGCCAAGCTTCTGTTCCTTTGCCAAGATGGCGCCGCGGATCACATGGAGGTTAGCCACCGACCGTGGAGCGTCTCGGCACAGGGGACCTGCTCGCAGCTACTTTCTCCCCGTGCACGGCTGTGGACGACGCGCTGGGCAGCGTTTACACTTTCCAGCCAAGGAGGGGCGCCTCGCTTGGACGCCACGGAGCACCTTCGCCAAGATGGTGGCCGCGCGGCGTCACCGCATCTTTACCAAGATGGCGGTGAGAGGCTTCCGGCACGCGCTGTCCCCAGTCAGGGAGGGATCTCCGGGAGGTCAGGCGGAGGCGGCCGCCTTCGGAGTCCGAGTGCGGGTGCGGCGCGAGCGGCTGCAGTCGCGCGCGCCCGGGCGGGGGTGAGCCGGAGCGCGGCAGCCTCCGCTCTGGTCACAAGTGCCAAGTGCCTTCACCTGTGGGGACACCAAAGTTTCTTCCCCACCGCCTAACGCGGCACCGCAACGCCTTTGCCCGAGCCCCCAGAGCCCGCGTGTGCGGCGCCAGGGGGGGCGCAGGGGTCCCGCTTCGCGCCAGCCGGCCCAACGCGCCGGGCACCCACACACCCGCGCCCCACGCTCCTCCGCTGTCCTCTGGCCACGTGTTTCTCTTCGAGACCCGGAGGCGCGTCCCGGGAACAGCTGGAGGCAACTAAACGCCGACGTTTAAAAGCACGAAAGCTGCGTGTTTTGTTTGATTTGGAGGACTGGGGGGGGGGGGTCCCTGACACCCAGAAGGTTGGGCTAGGGCGCTCTGAGCCTGGGGCAGCAAATGTCAAGATTCGGGGGAGGGGCCTCGGCGGGGAGCTTGGATGCGGGCCCCGAAGGGGGTGGAGGAAGAGGTCAGGAGTTTGGGGTGAGAAGAGGGCGGGCTTCTCCAGCAACTAACTATTCGGTCTGCAACTTCTAGGCCTGCTCTCTCCCTTACCCCCCCCCCCCAATGCTTCTTTAATCATAATTTTTAAAGTGCAAAGAAATCCTGCTAGCTAGAGGTTTTGCATTCAGCGTGCAACTTCCTCCGAGTGTGAGCGCGCTGGCAGCCAGGGAGGGAGTGGTGGGGGTTGAACTTGGCAGGCGGCGCCTCCTGCTGCCGCCGCCGCCGCCGCCGCCTCCTCTAAGACTCGGGGAAGAGGGTGGGGGACGGTCGGGGCGCGGGGGAGGGTGGGTTCTGCTTTGCAACTTCTCCCGGAGAGAGCGAGCAAGCGCGCCCACGGCGGCTGCAGACGGGCCGCCCAGACGATGCGGGGGTGGGGGACCTGCCGGCACGCGAGTCCCCCCCGGGCTTACAGTACGTATGCGCTGACCCCCTCCTCTGCCTTCCCTCCCTCCCCTCCCCAAGCCTCCCCAGAGGGCGTGTCTGCCGTCCTGCCCCGAGAGCGGCCGAGGCGCTGCTGCACCGTTTCCGTGCCATCCCGCAGCCCCTCTGCCCGTGTAACACAGTTCGCGCAACTCGGCGGCTGGCGGGCACGGACCACCCCTGCGGCTCAGCCGGCTGCCTGTCACCCTCGGGGGCTCTGGCGGTGGACCCACGGGGCGGGTTCCCGAGCGGTTCCAAGCCGCGGAGCTGGGCGGGGGCGGGAAGGAGCCAGGGAGAAGAGAAACTAAAGAAACTCGCTTCCCCTCCCTGGCCAGGTCGGCACCCGCCGCCGCCGCCGCACTTTTGCTCTTTGCTCGGGTGGGGAAGGCGATGCCCCGAGCCTCGGGTTTGCAGGCGCCGTCGGGGCCGGGCTGGCGGGGCCCGCACGCTGGGCGAGGGGTGAGGGCCGCGGGCGCCCTTGCAGTTGCCGACAGTGGCCAACAGGTTGCACCGTTCCCCGCGGCCGCCGCGCGGCCCCTCGGGCGGGGAGCGGCCGGGGGTGGAGTGGGAGCGCGTGTGTGCGAGTGTGTGCGCGCCGTGGCGCCGCCTCCGCCCGCCCCTCGCTCGGTCCCGCTCGCCTGCCGCGGCCGGGCGGCCCTTTCGCGTGTCCGCGCTCCCCCCCCAACCCCCCTCCACCTCCGCCTCCTCCATTTTGCGAGCTCGAGTCAGTGCCTGGAGCCCGAGTCGCCGCCCGCCCGTCGGGGACGGATTCTAAGTGGGTGGAACGAGACGCCGCAGCCCGGCGGCGCGGCGCCGGGACGGGGGACGCGCGCGGGAGACGGGAGCGGCGCGGGGCACGGCTTGTCAGCCGGGGACGGGCGACTTTCCGCGCTAGGGGGCTCTCCCCTCCCCCATGGAGAAGAGGGGGCGACTGTTGACTTCCTTCTCCGTGACACGCGCGCCTCCCGCGTCCGCACGCCGACTTGTTTATCTGGCTGCGGTGGGAGCCGCGGACGGGCGGGCGAGCGAGCGAGCGCGCGGGTGCCGAGGTGAGCGGGGGCTGGGCAGCGGGCGCCCGCGCCGAGGTGAGCGGGGCTGGCCGCGCTCCCCGAGGGGCTCGGCAGCCGGGGCGGCGGGACTTGGCAAACTTTTGTCAGCCCTGGGGTTGGGGGTGGAGGCTGGCGAGGGCAGGGTGACGGTGACGAAAGGGCCTCGGCGGTGACAGCGCCGGCGCTTCCTCTCCCCGCACCGCCATCCCTGGCCCGGCGCGCTGCCCCGCGGTGGAGCCTCGCGCGTCCCGGCGGCGGCGGCGGGAATCCGGCGTCCTTCTTGGTTTTGCTTTTGCCGCAAGCCCTCCGGTCTTGGCTGTCCTCGGGGGCCGCCCGGACAGCCGCTTTTTCCCGGGGGGGAAAAGGCAGAGCGGCGGCGCCGCTGTATGAGCCGCGGGCTCAGGGCGAGCGGCTGCGGGCTGCGGGCTGGTGGGGTGGATTCGGGGCTCTCAGCCTGCAGCCCAGACTTCGCCCGCCTGGCCTTATCTGCTGGAAGTGGGCGTGCCGCAGAGAACTCAACAGGTCTGGACGCATTGCTCCCTTCACCTCGCACCTTTCTCCCTCCTCCTGCCCCCCACCCCCACCCCCCACCCCAGACGACTTTGGGGCATGGTTTCGCGCCCGACTTTTCTAGTGGACCCTTTTAGAAAGAGACCCTCCCTACCAGCAGTTTTTGTTGTGGTTTGGGTTTTTTTTTTTTGGGGGGGGGGAGTTGTGCAGCGATTTTTTGACAAGTGTACTTTGAGGTGGAAGGCTTGATCCTCATCGCGGCCTTGCCACTTGAGATCCAACTAATGTCCCAGGGTTATTTACAGTTGTAACTGGGGGATAAATGTCGCTTAAGGGAGCATCTCCTTCTATGTAGTATTGTTGTGGTTTCGTGCTTGAATGGTAACTGTCAAAAATGCAATTGTGGAAATTGATTAGGGACCATTTGGTATCTCATGTTTAGAGATCCTTATCAGTTGCATGGGGGGGGGTGTTCTGAGAGAGAAGCCAAGTACAGGAAGATTCCTAGGGCAGGTCCCCCTCTCCACCTTCCTCACATTCCCCTCAGTGAAGATGGTCATACTTCTTAGTATCTTGGTACAGGAAAAGTTTACCGGTTTATGGGAGAAGATCCCAAATATACTTATCATAGTCTTTGCCAGCCTCTTAAAACATTTTGTTTATTAGTAATATACCAACGATCTGGAGAAATTCAATGTAAATGAAAACTGTAGAGAAAATTATTCTGAGTTTCTTGGATGGATTTTATTTGAATTTGTATGTAATCCCACAGCCCAGTTTTTCTATTTCCCCCAGTATTTCCGTATTTGGAAAGAAAAAAAAAATCTTAAATTGTGTGATAAACATTTTGTGTTGAGTGCACTAAGCAATTTTTACAAAAAAAAATAACTCAATTAATTTTGATGTTAGATGTTTTGATAAATTCTACTCCCTTTAGCTATTTAAACAAGTTAAAACTGTAGTGGAGAAGTCAGTACAAATTCTACTCTGCTTTTTAAAATATACATTTTAGGCTATATGCAATGTATATCATTTCTTATATCCAACGTCTGCAGGTAGATGCTACTGAACAAGCACATCTGGTTGGAAATGCACGTTTAAAATAAGAGCATTTCTGTAGCCTATTACAAGAAGAACAGCATTATTTATTTTTTTCAAATTAAAATGTGTATAATTCTCCAGGAGGTCGTACCTTGAAAGGGTTAGATGTGAGGATTGGCACAAGGTGAAATTGTGAATTGTAAGGTGCAAACAATTATAACGTTTATTAAATGTTTTATGTATTGGTTTCCAGAAAGGCAGTCACCTTTGATTGAAAAGGGGTTGGAATTTTGAAGATCATGCTTTTAAAAAAGTTAAATACTTTGACATCAACTTGAACCTTTAGAATAATCATGTATAACAAATTACAATTCCTATGGTTGCCAAAGCTACACATTTAGTGAGCAGGACAAACAGTCAAATTCAAATCAATTCAGTATAACTCTGTCCTGGCAAAGGAATTGTCTTGGGCTTTTTTAAATGTAGCACGCTGTATGGGAGTAGGGAGTAGGGGATTTAGCTTTATTTTAGAAAATGGAAACTGTTCTTCTGATAATGGAGAAGTTGATTTGGAAGTTACCTAAAGGGTTCATTTAATAGGCTGTCTCTCACTAATCAGATCAGAGGTAATATGATTTTATAGCTTATTATATCTTTTTTTTTTTTTGTAGTTAATATTTGCCAATGGACTCCAAAGAATCCTTAGCTCCCCCTGGTAGAGAAGTCCCCAGCAATTTGCTTGTCCCTGAGAGGGGAAACTTGATGGACTTTCATAAAAGCCTGAGGGGAGGAGCTACCGTGAAGCTCCCTGCATCTTCATCCTCACTGGCTGCTGTTTCTCAGACAGATTCCAAGCAGCAGAGGCTTCTCCTTGATTTTCCAAAAGGCTCAACAAACAATGCACAGCAGCCAGATTTGTCCAAAGCTGTGTCACTTTCCATGGGACTGTATATGGGAGAGACAGAAACAAAAGTGATGGGAAATGACTTGGGATACCCACAGCAGGGCCAAGTTAGCCTTTCCTCTGGGGAGACAGACTTTCGGCTTCTGGAAGAAAGTATTGAAAACCTCAACAGGTCAACCAGTGTTCCAGAGAACCCCAAGAGTTCAGCATCTGCTGCTGGGTGTGCTACCCCTACAGAGAAGGAGTTTCCCAAAACTCACTCAGATGCATCTTCAGAACAGCAAAGTCTAAAAGGCCAGACTGGCACCAACGGTGGCAATGTGAAATTGTATACCACAGACCAAAGCACCTTTGACATCTTGCAGGATTTGGAGTTTTCTGCTGGGTCCCCAGGTAAAGAGACAAATGCAAGTCCTTGGAGGTCAGACCTGTTGATAGATGAAAACCTGTTGTCTCCTTTGGCAGGAGATGAGGATCCATTCCTTTTGGAAGGGGATGCAAATGAGGACTGTAAGCCTTTTATTTTACAGGACACTAAACCTAAAATTAAGGATACTGGAGATCCCATCTTACCAAGCCCCAGCAGTGTGACGATGCCCCAGGTGAAAACAGAAAAAGACGATTTCATTGAACTTTGCACCCCCGGGGTAATTAAGCAAGAGAAACTGGGCCCAGTTTATTGTCAGGCAGGCTTTTCTGGGACGAATATAATTGGTAATAAAATGTCTGCCATCTCTGTTCATGGTGTGAGTACCTCTGGAGGACAGATGTACCACTATGACATGAACGCAGCGGCCCTTTCCGAAGAACAGGATCAGAAGCCTGTTTTTAATGTCATTCCACCAATTCCTGTTGGTTCTGAAAACTGGAATAGGTGCCAAGGGTCTGGAGAGGATAACCTGGCTTCCTTGGGGACTATGAACTTCCCAGGCCGATCGGTGTTTTCGAATGGCTATTCCAGGTAAGTTAGTGCTCTTCTGTTTCATAAGAATGATGCACTGAAGATAGTTTGATACATTCTAGAGATCATTTATCGAATTGTGTTTTCTTGAGATATGTATACCTTTTCAAATAACTGAGTGCAAATTGTATTTTGAAAGTGGGCATGTTAGCAAATCTAAAGGACTTACCTGTGCAAAGCACTTAGGGTATTTGATGAAATAGCAATAGTTTCTCACTGGTCAGCATTGAAGGTTTTATGTGAAAACTTTGAATCTGAATTGTTCAGTAACAAGTATCTTAAGTAAAGCTAACGTGAAATCAAGAAAATATGATGTCTAGTCATATAATACACTTGTTGTGTATATTAGTTTAGCTGCTTCAGAATACATTATTACAAGAATTAGTCACATACTTAAAAGTTGCTTTGCCATATGTATCCTGTGTGAAGTGTTACCTTTCAGTTAAAGGGTTAAGAATTGGAAGTAGTAATGCTGAGCCCTGTTACCTGAACCTTCTGAGTTTAGCACCTGTTAAAGCAGTGTGTCCTGACCTAGACCATAGCTTAGAGTAGCCTAAGGTAGACAATTGGCATCTGCTTACCAGCCTCTCTAAGGAAGGAACTGGTGCACAATGCTTTCAGATGCTACTGTGCATATTCTGGTAGGTAACTCAAGATGAGAATATTCAGGCTTCAGTTAGTAAGCACCTTGTATATCTGTCTTCTTTTTTCTCAGTAAGTTAAACATGTACTGATATTTCTGTCCTCACAAAGGTCTGTTAGAATAAAATTACAAAAAAAAAAAAAAAAAAAAAAAAAACCCTTGTAAGTTAAGATAAATGTACTTTACTGGTAGGCTTAGGTTCTTTATCTTCTACCCTCATCTTCAAGTCATGTATATAGCTTGTATATCTAGTTGATGTATAAAAGAAAAGAAAATGTGGGTTGTAGTGATACAACGTTGATTAATGATTAGGGGTTTGTTTTGTTTTTGAAGAAAACAGAGTCCTTTGTGTGTAGTCCCATCAACTTTTTTCTTACCTATTAGTGATCTTCACTATTCCTATTAACTAGTCCTTGGACAGCATTTTACTTAAAACTCAAAGAAAGAATGTTTTCAGCATAGTCTTTCACTAAGCTACATCCTTACAACTCTTTGACATCCCTTTTCTCTGAAGGTTATCCTCACATTGACATAAAAAATGCATCTCTTTCCCCCATGTGTAGGAAGCTTATATTGGGGAAAAAATAGATTTAGACTATGATATATTTTTCTAAACAACTTAATTATAGCTTACCAAGAAGGGGGAAAAATCACCTTTGTAACAGCCTAACAGATGCGTAGTTACTGTTTTTATTGACTATTAGTAATGACTATTAATCAAGTACTCAAAAATCTACTGTCTTATTTTAGGGGAAACTATTGCAGCACTTCAACTTATCTTTTTGAATTAGGGGTTTAAGATATTTCCAACAAAGAAATTTAAATAGTTGTTAAGAGATGTGCTGTGTTTTTAAATTTTTCAATCTTAATTTTTTGACGATTGGTTTCATGCCGTTGACTTTCATAAAAGAGTAATTACAGTTGATTTGATTATCTGTAGAGAGCTATTGAGTTATAAACGTGATTACACAAGGAAAAACAGTACATTTAGGAAATTCCTTGCCCTGAAATCCATCATAAACTTTTCACTTTTTATTCTAAGAAAAAATAATGGAACCAAACTTAACTTGCATGCACTATGAATTTTCATTAAGACTTATAAAATCTGGAATATTAACAATAAATCTTACCCTTAAATCTTAAATAATTTTAGTACTCTAACTTTTACACTTACTGATGGCATATAAAATGTTACGGTTTTGTTGAGCTTCTGCCTTTACAAAGGTAGGCAGAGCTATGATGACGTGGCACTTCAGAGGCTCTTTCATGTCCAGGAAGTGATTAATTTTATACTAACATATGATTTGGATTTTAATAACTGGTGTCATTTAGTACGGTAGATTGGCCTAACGGATCATGGGCAGTGCTTGGAAGCTTGACACTTAGCACTGGGAACTGTGATTACACAGAACCAAAATTCACCCAAGTAAATTGGGACAATGTTTCCTTTCTGACCATTGTTGAATTCTTCTATTGTTTCCAAGGAGCAGCCTTGGCAGAACTAAAATTGGTTGCTCTCTATATATGATGCATGGTGGTTGCCAAACATTAGCTATGATCAGTGACCCTGAGTCATCAGCCACTAAATCAACACGCTGAGGCAACAGCTTGATAGGATACTCTATGACTTTAGATAGGAAAAGAGTAATGCCACTAATAACATCACTCAGACTTTATTTTAAAAAAGCGTACTTTCTAATTTGAGTTTTTTAACAACTAGAATATTTTCCCCCAGAATGTGGATTTAAAACTCATACTGTATTTGGGGAGAAGGCAATTTCTATATAAATATATCAGGGCATCATAACATCAGGTTAGCACATTAAATTGTAGAATTATGCATATCATGATTAAGTTTTTTGTTGTTTGCTTTTAAGGATTAAGTTCTTTGGTAGTAAAACCAGGTAATGGTTGCTGATGCTCAGGTCCATTCTTAGTAAAATGAACTTCCAATTCTAACAGTACACTTTAAAATTCAGTGAGCTTAATGTAAGCATACTCGAAGCAGGCATGCTTATGTGTAATTTGATTTTCTTCCAACATGCTTTACCTCAACATTAAATTGTGTACATTGCAGAAAATAAGTGGAGAGAACTAAAGGGTTTTCAGGGGAATTAGAGCTTTTAGGGATACTGTTGAAATTTTTACAAGTTGACCCGTTCCTGAAAGGTAGCATGGTTAGAGAAAAATAATAATGCAAGATGGACTTATAAACTCACCCTTCCTGGAGTATAGGGTTTTGGTAATGGATATTTAATGATGCTACTAAAACTGAAGTAGATTTAGACATCTCTCTTTATTGGTCATATCTGTGTCAAGTTTTATACAAATAATAAAACTGAAAAATTGTAAGAACATGGACTGAGTGTAACACATTTTGTCCCTTTCTCACTTTGCTTATTAACAGCAGGTTAGATGTTTTTATGAGAAGGAGACAGAACATAAAAGAAAGAATAAGTAGGTTTATTTTGGCCACAACTAGCTTTTTCTTTTGATAGGTATTTGTTTTGATGTCTTTTTTTCCTTGCCTTCTGGAGATGCTGACATTGGGTGTTCCTGTGGCATTTTGAGATTACTCTTTCTTGATGTCCATTTATATAAGATAATTTCTGGATGTGATTTGCTTTGGAGCATATACTTATTTGCGTATATGTTGTTACCTTTATGGCAGGATCATTTCCTCTTTTTAGAGATCAGTGTGATTGATTTTAAGAGAAATTTTAGTAATTGTGTACTCAGGTGTATCAACTTAGTATGGAATGACTAATACAGAAATATGCAACAAGCCATTAGTCAGCTCTTAATGAAATTTTTGTAATACTTCCTTGGTTAATGCTTGCATATTTTTCATTGACAATTTAACTTGTATTCATAATATTATTTTGTTTTTATCTATTTCTGCTACAGATATTTTATTTGACTGTTTTTCATATATTATTAACATTAATTTTATGACTTGTTCTTCAGTATGCTTTGCACAAATGTAAATGCAATGTAAGTTTTAGTAGATAAATTAATAAGAAGGGAAATATCACTTTAGGAGCCTTTTGAGGTTTTACTGAGGAGATTGTACCAAATGGTATCTTTTCCATGAGTACCAGTTGAGAAAGACAGAGCTTTTCAATTCTTAGTGAGTTACGTAAGTCTCCATGCACTCCAGCCTGATTGTATTATGAAGCTTTATTTATATTTCAGATAGGTCTGGCACATATTTCTTCAAATACATTTTTTTCTTTAATGGTTGCACGTAATTAATTCTAATTTTGTTTTAGGTCTTACCCTGTAAGTAAATTTAACAGGCATAATAGGTTCACGTTGAGTATTATTTACTATTCTGAAGCCATCTTGGTAATATTTTTGTCAAAAGTAATTGTTTAATACAGTATAAATAGTTGTCAAATTAGAAAGCATTTGTTTATATTTCTGGCATATACAGAGTATAAATTGGTGAATCCCATTGTATAACAAATTTCTAAGGATGGTTTTATTGGATTAAACCACAACCAGAAAAAAAAAATCAATCCTGGATCAATTATTTCTTTCTCCAGCTCCATTTAGCCAGCTGCCCTCATTTTCTTCTACCTTGGCATTGCATTTTTCAAGTTCTCTTAAGGGAAACTTACATTTTACAACAAATCTCTAAAGTGTTTTCTTCCTTCCTTCTAATTGTGTGATCATTTCAATGCCAGATGACATTTGGGTGTCTTTTTTTATTTTACATATTAATTTTTTTTAATTCATTACAAAGTCAGTTGTACCTAGTGGCCTCAAGCCCCCTCCCATACACAATCTGTGGAGGAGGGTCAAAGAGGTGGATGACAGTCAAAGAGTGAATTAGCAGAGGCATGGAATAGAGGGAGAAACTTAGAATTTCAAGGACAATTCCAAATACCAACCATTTCTATCAACAGTCTTGAGAGGTACCAAGGGAGTGCACACATAGGTACTACAGTGCCATAGTACTACAGTAGTGATGCTCTGATGTGAGGGGCAAAGGGCAGCAGAGTAACTAGTGTTCCAGTTAGGCTCTTTCTTGTGATGCTTTACTACCAAAATAAGGACAAAATTTACATCATACTTTTATTGCTGCCAAGATTAAGTTCATATTTGTCCCATCTTAATTTCAGCAGTTATTAAAGAAAATCTTATGATTTGGACTAGTTGAAATTATCATGGTGCCTTATGTTGCTACAACCATTTCATATTTCATAGTGCACGTTACAAATGAATTATCAACTGACTGGAGTACAACACTTGCCATGGGTTATCTGATTTTTTGCTAGAATAGTGAGTAAATTAGGCAAACATACAACCTAAATTATTAGATTCTGTAAGTACTAGATAGCCACTTAAACTA